GTTTGAAGGGCAAACTTGTGGCTTATACAGGACATACCTTGATGAAACGTCTAGCAGTAACGTTACCAGATGAAGATAGGTTTTTTAATCGGTATAAATCAAGGTGAATAAGGTAAAACTGTACACATTTATAAAAGCAAGCAACAGAGGAGTGAGTGTAATTTAATCTCACCTTTTTAAAAACATATTAAATTCATAAACACAAAGATAAAAATATAAAATACAATTCAATCAAGTTTTGATAATCAAATATGAACATCAAAACTGTAAAAACAAACTTCAAGCACGAGTTGAAACGCCATCTATCAATGTTAAATTGAATTGATCCGAAACAATTATTATTTCAACAACACTTTTGATATTACATTTCTGAATCAGAAAATCAATTAAATTGCAATCAAGTATCTTATTATGATCATTCTTAACACTATTAACCCCAAAAATCATCAAGACTTTAAGAAAAACATCAATTTCTCAAAATATTACTGTTATCCACAGGCTCAACCAATCATCAATAATATCCATTTGTGGTTAAATTGTTTTCATTTTAAATAATCCTCAACATTTTACCAACAATTTTGGCAAATGCAGATGTAATCTTGTACTGCTATTATGAAGATTGTGAACTAGACAAATTGAGTTCTAGAAAAGAATCTAAAAATTCATTATTTTTGTATCGATACCTGAACACAAAACCAGAAAAAATGAAAATATAATACCATGAGATAAATTACAAAAGCAAGAAATGTCTTTCATATCAATTTTCAATATAATTAAAATTTTGATCAAATAAAGAGTATTAGATAAGTTGAGAAGGCATATTGACGAGGAATAATTTGATCAAATTATTGCATGAGTTGAATGGAAATTTTAGCTTATCTAACATTACATGTAATGTCATATTGCTGGTTGAATCGAGTTGATCAAGCGCACAATTGCAATTGATGAAATTCCCTATTTTGTTGCTTTCTAAAGATCCTTCATGAAATGATTGTTCCCGGGTCTATCTTTTTCAAATAACAAGTCAATGAAAGTCAGTCGTTGAATTAATTATTATCTGCCTCAATCGATTCTCAAAGAGCATTGTTTTAGTTCAGAAATCACGGTTATCCTAAGATGAGCAAGTTACAGTTCCTTTAACACAAAAAGTCAAGCTCATTGTCTCAGTAGCTCAGTCAACTAGGTAAATGATTTGACAGAATCTCAATTGAAAGCGAAATTTATTCTTTCAACTCAAAAGTTATCAGTTATCATCAACAATAAAATAGATGATTAGTTTCGGAAATTTCGTTAATTAGATGAGCATGAAAATCAAGATCAAAACCTCCATAAAGTATTGAGTTCACGGGAAACCTTAATTTAGGGGAAATTAATTTCGATTCCTAATAAACTGATTGTAGTATTAACTTCCCATCTTTTCGGGAAAACATAGTAAATTGGTGATAATAACCTAGAATGGGTCTGATCACTATTCACATTAATAATACATCACTGATTAACCAATTGACTTACATTAGTTAATTACTAATTTTACAATGAAAGTTCACAGTTCTAGTTCAAAGGTAAAATGTTACATACAAGTGTAAAGATTGATCAAACATTCAATTTTTACCTCAAGTACAACTATTAGGTTAGACATTTTGTCATTAATAATTTCAATAAGGTGTTAAAATTGAAATACCAAGAATCTTGCAGTAAAATTTAAACTCCATGAGCTCCTGTATCGATTCAACTCTAATAAAATCTTTTTTGATTCTTTGTGTCATTATCAACTCTTTTTAATGTAAATCGACTGTTTCAGTATTTAAATTAAAACAGTTGAACAAACTAAAAGGTAAGGTTAGGTGTCAATGAAATGTTTGATGTTAACTGTTAAAATGTCATGGCAAAGGAAATACTTTGCGTAGTAGTAGAGTAACGAATTATGCAGAATAAATTCTGAGGCCAGAGTTTAAGAATATCTATGATATTATCATTGGAATGAGTACCATTAAAAGCGATAAAACTCTCATCAATCGTGTCCACAATAAAACAGTTCCGCAAAAACTGAACCTAAAGAACATGAAATTGAAAGCTTGAGACACCTGAACTGCGAGAAGTAGTCCTTGTTGGTTTCATCCTTAGTATACAAAATACCAATTTTCGAAATCCTTTTGGTAAAGTTGAAAGTAAAAGATTCTATCAACAATTTAGACTTAAATTTGAATAGATTAGCTACAGATGTTTCAACAATCAATTACTCATTTTGATCATCATTTGTACGATTTTCTTATTGAAGGTTAAATGTGACAATTTATCAATGAAGGTTAATTTTCTCTTCAAAATCCAAAGACTATTAACATGGTAATTTGAATTTTTGTTGATCAAAAAACGATTTTTACAATTAATCAGCTTGGTTTTTGTAGCAAACATTTACCGATCAAACATTCACAATGTACAATGATTTGAGTTACACAATTTGTAATTGTAATTTAGATAATTTGAATTTCCAGTAAATGTAGAGCGTCTTTGCTTCTTCATAAACATTACAATCATTACATCCCTGACCAACATTAAGTTGGATTAGACGAAATAATTGTTTTTATATTTCCTCATTCTTCGTACAAGAAACCCATTAAAATCAGTTGTTATTAAAAATAGAGAAATCAAAATCATCTTCTAAATATCTAACTGCATCAATTTATGATTTAATTGTGATATTGAACAACTTCCATTATCATGATTGCTTTCTTGTATATATAAAAATTAAGACAATCAACTCAATCATTGTTCATCGACATCTTTAACTGTTAATTTGTATTTGCCTTTGTGGTTAAAACTTAACTCGCTTTGTGGTTGAAAATGCTCTCGACAAGTCTAATTATTTCCCTTGTTTCACTGGTTTCCCTTGTAAACGCTAACCTTCACAATATCGTTTACTCGACCGATTCCAAATCGAAAATTGTTTATGTTTCCGTCGACGATTCAGCCACAAGTTTGGAGAAAGCAATTGTAAACTGTTCAGTTTTTAGTGAACCAGATGCTGTAAATGGAGTTTTGTCTTCGACTACTGATCCTGTTATTCCGATTGACGAAGATTCCTTCAATACTTTGGTTAAAACATGCAATGGCCTTAAACCAAGCTCAATCTTATCACTAGAACCACTTACTAACATATTTGATCTGGCAAGTGATCTGTTGATTGCTCCTGGAACCAAATATTGTGGACCTGGAAATCGCTCATCGAGTTACGATGATTTAGGTCGTAGGGTTGAGCTTGACAAATGTTGTCGTGCCCATGATAACTGTCCAATGTCTATCGGGGGTTTCCAATCAAAATATGGTTTGACAAACCCACAAGCTTATACAAGGTGAGCCCAGTCTCTGCTAAAACTCAAGATTTGAACTTTCTGTCTACAATCATTCAATAATTTTAGTTCATTTATCAAACATCATCAGTTAAAGTAGTGATTAGACTTGAAAGTTCAAATTTTGTGATCCTTTTGAAAATTAAAACAAAAAATCTTTGAATCTTGGCATTACCAGAAGGAACATTGTATGATTGATTGACAAAACATTTTGAGTGATTCTCGAAATATGTTAAGGGTTTTGAAAGAATGTCGAATTTTCATTTTAATGAAACATATTTGTATAGCTAATTGACTAACTAATGATATTTTATTATTTTTCCATTTTCAGTTCTCGCTGTGATTGCGATAGAGAACTCAAAAGTTGCCTGAAAAAAGCCAGTGAAACTGATGTTGAAGCTACTTTAACTGGAGTAATTTACTTCAATATTTTGAAAACCAAGTGTTTTCAACAAGTTGAACCTGAAGGCCAGTGCCTTGAATACTCTGGGTGAGTTGTTTCGACCAATTGTCTCCTAAAAAGATCGCTAACCAATTATCTTTTCTCATTTCTAGATTGCTTATAAAAAAATGTGAGAAGCGTGCTGAGCCTAATGCAACTGAACCCGTCTACCAGTTTCAAACTTCTGGACTTTTCCCTTAAAACTTCATATGTTTACACGAATTAAGTATCAATGTTTAGAGGTCTTAAAATGGTCAACATTTTACTTAAACGTATTTACTAATAATAAATTATACAACTCTCCTCGTGGCTCATTGATTTACATTCATCACAAACTTATTATATTGTTAATGAATATTTTTTGAGCGCAAACTAAAAATGTGAAAAACATCTTTTCAGATTGTTGAATAACATTTAATGCTGCAACATCATGAACAGAAGATATAAAACTTTATTAACATGTATTATTATTAATAGTTTGTATATAATAGTTTACATTTAAAGTTCAGTTTAACGAACTTGCAAGAAAAAAATAAGAGTAACAGGCACTTTTACGGCATAGCTGTTGAGTCTGAAGATTGCTTGCAAGCTGACTTGCATCATGACTGACGACGTTTTAGATGCTTGAGTTCTGAATGGAACCCGTGATATTAACTTTCGTTGGGTCCATAATAAAAAGACTCTAGATCAACAACAATGCGACCTATTAGTGAACGGCTTCGGTTTTACTTCGTATTTCTTTCAAATTTAAAGTTACTACTAAAAAAGTAAAATTATCAGCCTGTAGATGAAAAACCAGAGAATAGCTTTTACAAGACGATTGGGACTGTTCTCGAATTATTAAATCCATGAAATTAGGTAAGCGGGTAAATGCAATACCATAGAGTCTTTTTGAGCCAAATAAAACTTAGACCCTAGGCATGATTATTATCGATAGTATAAAAAATCTCATTGATTTGTTGACAGCAATTGATAACCTCACAAATCTAGTTGTCAACTCAATTTGCGTAACAATTATGTAACTAACAATTGTGAATTGTTCAACATTTAAATCATTTTACAGCTTTTGTTGCCATAAACATAAAATTATGTTTAATATCAATTTGAGCATTTATGAAGTGAATAAAGAGATAAATTGATATTTATTCAATATTGCTGAGACTCTCTTGAAGTCTCTATCTTTATATCAATAACTCATTGAATCCGCATTTTTATGATTTTCATTCTTGTTAATAACTATTAACTCACCATTACCTACTGATTTTATTAACATTTTATTTAACTAGCAAGCACGATCAGTAAATTGCCAATTAAGACTAGTTTGTAAGGATAAACTAGGAAACATTCTTAATTACTGATTGTCGACTATCAAAATTGATGGATGCTCGAGATAATTTTATTGTCTATTTAGCTAATTTCTTGTTTTGACTCAAAACATCTTGTTTATCATGTAATAAATATTACTCAATATAATTTCACAGTTATGAGCTGATATTTTTTAGCATGCAAAACACATCTCACAAGGAAACTGTGTCTTGCTCTGACATCATTAGCAGCTGTTAATATCTCAATTACATTGAATTGTATTTCCGTAAAGTTCAATTGATGGAATCTGAAAAATACAAAATATTAGATTCGGAATCACATTGATCTTTATGGGACAAATACTCTTATTGTCACTTCCAGCCTTAAAGACATTTTGAGACTTAAAGACTCATTTGACTCAAAATTTGAGTAGAAGCACCCGACCCTTCATTTTTTCAACGCGTTTTTTCAAATATGTTTTGAAAGTGACAACTTTGATTATGTAACGAAGTTCTGAAACGATTTTGATATTACTAATATATTATATTAACTTTAAAGATCATTTTAAGCCAGAAGATTGATTATGTTTTTTGTTTCTAGATCGTCTCTTAAAAACTCCTCTTACCCCCTAAAAATTGTGCTTTGATGCAGACCATGAAAATCAATATAGAGTTTTAGCCGAGAATTGATTTGTGTCCAAAATTTACTCGAGCTCAACATTTCTGTTCTCCTTCCATTCTTCTTTTTCTCTGTGAATTCATTGATTTAGTTGAAATCTAATTTTCTTTAAATATTTTTATCAAGTTCTAATTTGTGTTCGGATTTGATTTCATTTATTTACGTTGCTTTTTCTAACATTGTCGAAAACATATTTCTACTCACCATGTCAGTGAGTCTTAGACCACAATCTCGATCCAATGTTATCATCGCCCATCACTTAAGAGGATGGTTGACAAAAGTTGATGAGATGGACAAAAGTTTATTTTCTTCCGTCGCCACATTGTTCGCCCCACAACTCACCTCTAATCCTGAGGTCAAAGGGATTTTGATCCCCGACACCGTTTCTCCTTCAATTTTTGTAGCCTTTAAAGACGTGTTCCATGAAGATGGAGTGGATGTTGAAAAGCAAGATTTAAAGCCATTTACTGCCCAACTTGAAAGCATTGGTGTAAAAGTTGCACATATTTATCATTCTTCTTGGGTTACCGACAATAGACCCATGGTTATTGTCAAACAACTATACAAATTATGGCGAGCAATTATCCTTTGGCCAAGACATGAGTCTGATCAACTGATAAATGATAGGGTCAAACCATGTGAGTAACCTGTTTGATTATATTGTTTTTTGTTCTCTTTCATTAATTTTGTATTTCCTTTCTGTTTGCAGTTTACACTTCTTATGTGCCCAAAGATACTCCATGCCAGGAGTTAAAACTATATGAAAGAGAAGATAGTGAAAGTGTTAACTATTTTGATATAAAATTTTCACACGGAGATTTCAGGATCAAACTCTATTGTATTGGTCCAAACAACAAGACTTCAATCCTGACAGTGTCATCAACCTAGCTGAATCCACGAAATAACCAGTTGTGAAAATCACGCGATTGGATGTGAATGATGAAAAACCAGAACCAGAACCAGAACCAGAACCAGAGACAGAGCCTCCAAAAAAAAGGAAATGTTTAATTTAAATATTGAAAAAGATAATTTAATAATTTTCATAAAGCAATTCAGTTACATGTTTAGTCAATTTGTCATTTTCTCATAATTTAACTCCCATATAATCATAATAAAATTTAAGCCATTTAAACACCTTTTGTTTGTCCATTATCTCAAATGTTTAAAGTCGTTTAGTTTTATGTTGTTTATGTGACTAGAAAAATTGATTTCTATGTTTTGTGTGTTTTTTGACAAGTTGGTGCCTCTAATCGATTCAACTTCAAACTCCATTGAGAACGTGTCAACACTGAAGAAT